GATCATTGGTATATTAGCCTTCCGCTGCGCTATCTTGTACTATGTGAGAAAGGTCGGTTCTTGTTCTGGTCTGCACCACTACGGTATGCAACAGTTTGGTATCGGAGCAGACCTCGCAATCAGAGGATCCGGCCAATCAAGGAGCCAGCTTGCTTGATCAACTGATTGTTGATCAACTGATTGTTGATTGATTGATTGATTGATTGATTGATTGATTGATTGATTGTTAGTGAATCAAGGGGCTTCGTCAAATCTCTGCAAATTTTGTTTTTTCTTTTTCGCGACTTTGGATATTAGCATTTCGTTTTCTGTTTTCACTCTGGGCATATCAGGTGAACTAGCGAGGTTGTCATACTCTGTCTGGATCTATTCTTCTCTGAAAGTGGAACCTCCAGTCTATTTCGCGCAATTTTTTTTTTCAAAGATCGCATTTTGAAAGCTGAAACTTTGCGAAACCTTGCCTAGATCTTGCTCATAGTACTCCTCTGAAATGCCCCACTGATAGGAGATCGACAGATATACAAAAAAAAAAAAAAAAAAAAGGAGCGTGATCCTCTTCTTTTATTTTTTATTTTTATTTTATTCTGTTGATTAGGACCGAGAATGGAAAGTGCAGTTTTGTTACCTTTCTGCGTTTCCCTCCCACCCATCTTTGTCTGCATGCCCAGTTTGGTAAGTGCCACGTCAGTCGCAGTGCCACGTCAGCAGTGCCACGTCAGTAGCAGTGCCATGTCAGCAACAGTGCCACGACAGCAGCAGTACCAACGACAGCAGTGCCCCGCCACCATGACGGTTTCAGCTTTGGGCATGCCAGGCCAGCCGGCCAACGAGTCTATTGCCGCGTACCGACAGCGGTTCCAAGCTCAGCTCGCACTGATCGAGGCTGAGGAACAGCGCCAGGCGGCAGCCGAGGCTGCCCGCCTACAGGCTGAAGCGGAAGCAGCAGCTGAAAAGCAACGGCTTTAGGCCGAAGCTGACGCAGATGCCCAGGCCTGCCGCAAGGAAGCCCAGGATCTGCTGCAGCGGCACGAAGCCGCCAGTGTCAACAAGCTCAAGTTCTGGCATTTTGAACCATCCGAGGGCCACGACGACGCGACACCAGAAGAGCAGCACACGGAGTTCCTCTCCAAACTCGTGACCCGGTTGGTTTACACTTGTAACCACCTGCAGTGCGAGTTGGAGAAACAGCACCAGGAACTGGCAAATCTCCGACAGACGGTGCGGAACCACAAGGATCTGCATGAGGATGCTACACGGGCACTCAATTCCCGTGTACAGGACTTGGAGCAAGCAGCACTAGGACCAGATGTTGGCGAACCCAGCAGTGCAGCCTCAACCCGCCAATTGGAGGAACGAGTTGACCATGTAGTCGCAATGCTCGGAGACATCAGCACCTTCGCCGCACCAGCCACCGTCAACGAGCAGCTCGGCAACTTGAAGACCGAGCTCAGGCAGCTACACCAGCCACCCGACAACGATGGCAGCACCAGTGCATCAAAGCAGTACAAGATGCCGATGTTCCGGATCGAAAAGTTTGATGACTATACGCATCAAGACCCGATCCCCTGGTGGCAGGGCTTTACGACGGAACTTCGGATTCGTCACGTTCCGGAGCACTCGTACTTCGCGGCGTTGTTCCTCAACTCAACACGCGGACGCTAGATCTGGCTCAGCCACCTGGCAACCTTCCACGACGTCCACGACGTCCAGGTCGTCGATCTGCACAAGCAGATCTCTTGGGAAGATCTGACGAGGCTATGGAAGAAGCGTTTCATTGTTGACGACGCCCTGTCGCTCACCATCAACCGCCTCTTCAGCATGACTCAGGGCAACACACCGACACGCAATTGGCTCACGGAATGGCAAAAGATGGTGGCAACACCCGATCTCGACTCTCATTTCCGTACCTGCGCCGAGAGTTCTACAACCGGTCGTGCGCCGCCTTGAGCTCGCACTCGGTGATCGTGAACAGTAAACGACCTTCGCCGAAATCATCGACAAGGGTCGTGAGATCATCAAGACCAACCGGGCTGCTGCACACGATAAGACGGCGTGGCAGCCAACCCATATGGAGAAAGGAAAATTTGGTCCGCGTTCGCAGCCCGTCGCTGCAGTCCAATCGGACAACCTTGTGGAAGACCCAACAGCCACCTCAGCATCACATGAGGGAGATCTAGTGGCCGCCGCCCAGCCGTGAAGCAACAACAACTCCCGTGGGAAAGGGAAGGCGAAAACAACATCGCCGACCGGAAATGGACAGCCAGTACCATGGGTCAAGTTCAACTTGCCCGAGGCCGAATACAAGTACCACAGTTGATACAGCTGTTGCTACAGCACCAAGCACAAGACCTCCCAATGCCAAGATCAAGACAAGGAGGATGTTCGACCTCGTATAAGCTTAGGAAACTGAGCTGCGCGGGAGGTGAGGCGACTCCACCTCTCACTCCGCCAGATTCGACCGCATTGCTAGCAGCCTCCTACACATCTGGGGAGAATGCGGATGTCGTGAGTCCTCCGTTCACTTACGAGGATTACGCTGTCCACTTGGTCCCACCGTTGGACCAGCCACTCCACGTGCAACAATCCACCGCATGCACAGTTTCATCACCATCGGCAACCGATTCGGCAGCTTCGCCACCAACTTTCGTCGGGGATTCAACGTCATGGTCAAGACTTGAGAGACTCGACCCGTTGACGTTCGCGGACTTCCAATGGATGCCCCTTCCCCCGACCGGTCGATTGTCGAAACCATATTGCAACGTGCTTAAGGCACAACTGCGGGATTACTTGTACACTGCAGTACAAGCTCCGTTGATGGACGCCGGAGTAGAGGTTGTTGACCTTCAGGACTACGTTGCGAAGATCGACCACGAGTTCAAGACACAACGGTACGACGACATCAACGCGCCACTGTTGTACATTCGCATTCGGATCGGAGAGGCGACCTGCATCGCTTTGATCGATTGCGGAGCTACTCGCAACTATAGCAGCCAAGACTTTATGGTACGCGCTGCCCTTGGGCCACACATTCGGAGGAAGACGCAGCCCACGCAAGTCACGTTGGCCGACGGTCACATGCACAAGTCAATCGACTGGTGCATTGATTTTGTCCCCGTGTACTTCGCCCCACATGCAAGCGAGGTCGTGTCCTTCGACATTTTGGACACCCAGTTCGACACGATTTTGGGCATGTCATGGCTGCGAAGTGAGGATCACCCGGTGAACTTCTACCGCCGCACTGTTCACATTCGTGATCGGAACGGAGTACTAGTCCCATGCACGGTGCCTCCACCTCACTGTTCGATCAGCTGCCACGTGGTGTCCGCCATAAGCATTCGAGCTTCCATCACAAGGGACAACATCGAGGAGATGGGGGTGTGTTTTCTCCACGCCCTCCCTCCCCAGGACATCCCATCGATAGACGCATTGAGGGACCCACGCATCACTGAGCTTCTCGACGCCTACGGCGACGTGTTCCAAGCCCCGCACGGAGTAGTACGGGATCGGCCCATCCGCCACGAGATCATCCTCGAGGTCGGGGCTGTACCTCCGCGTGGTTGCATCTACTGCATGAGCGAGAAAGAGTTGAGTGTGCTACAGGCACAACTCGGCGACCTTCTTGAGAAAGGTTGGATTCGACCTAGCTCTTCGCCATACGGTGCTCCCGTTCTCTTCGTCCGGAAGAAGAACAAGGACTTGCGGTTGTGCATCGATTATCGCAAGCTCAACCCGCAAACCGTCAAGAACGCTGGCCCTCTTCCGCGCATCGACAACCTTCTCGATCGATTGGGCAACGCTAAGTTCTTCTCCAAGCTGGACCTCAAATCGGGATATCACCAACTCGAGATCCGGTCGGAGGATCGCTACAAGACCGCATTTAAGACGTGATATGGGCATTTCGAATGGCTGGTTATGCCTTTTGGCCTTACGAATGCCTGGCCACGTTCCAAGCGGCTATGACAACGGAGTTCCGACACATGCTGGATAGATTTGTACTCATCTACCTCGACGATATCTTGGTGTACTGTCGGAGTTCGGACGACCATGTGGAGCACCTGCGCACTGTTTTGGAATGGCTACGACAAGCGAAGTACAAAGCCAACTACGAAAAATGTCGAATTCGTGTGGCAAGAGCTCGAGTACTTGGGCCATTTTGTGACGCCGCAAGGTATCCGTCCGCTTGCAGACAAGATCGAGGTCGCCCACGTATGGCCTGAGCCCACCAACACCACGGACGTTCGCTCATTCATGGGGTTGGCGGGCTACTATCAACGCTTCATCACCAGGTACTCAAGGATTGCCGCACCATTGACGAGATTACAATCGCCAAAGGTGCCATTCATATTCGATGACGATGCGCGCCGCTCATTCCAAGCACTCAAGACGGCCATGCTCATGGCACCCGTCCTTAGCATCTACGACCCCACCTTGCCAACGAGCGCGACCATTGGCGCTTCCAGCTATGGCATTGGGCCAGTCATGGAACAACACGACGGCGATGACAGGCACCCGATGGAGTATTTCAGCCACAAAGTGCCTCCCATCAATTCACTTGATGATGCAAGGAAGGAGTTGCTAGCGTTCGTTATGGCTCTCAAGTGATGGTAGCACTTCCTCCTTGGGTGTCGTTGGTTCACATGGGTCACTGATAACAACCCATTGACCTACTACAAGACGCAGGATATAGTGAGCAGCACTATCGGACGATGGATGTACTTCATCGACCAATTTGACTTCACATCGAAACATCTCGCCGGCCTCTCCAATTGCACAGTAGATGCACTCTTTATCGCATCCCTATGACCAGGATATTGCGAAGACCCGATCTTTGCTCTATGACACATTATGCCTTCGCATTCGACGAGGAACTCCAGCGACACTTCATTCGGGGCTATGAGTCTGATCCGGATTTCGCCACACTATATGCATAACTATCTTCGGATCACCTGCCGGCCAACAATTATCGCATCGTCGACGGGTACTTGATTCTACACTCGCGAGGCAAGGACTTGCTCTGCGTCCCACGAGACCATCGTCTTCGGACTCGCCTTCTCGGCGAGTACCACGACTCGCGACTCGTCGGCCATTTCAGAGTCAATCGGACTATCGCATGACTTCGGCAGCAATTCCGGTGGTCCGACCTCATTACCGATGTCACTCAGTATTGTGACTCTTGCGAAGTTTGCCGACGAAGCAAGCCCCAGAACCGCAATCCTTACGGCGAGTTGCGCCCGTTGCCTATTCCACGGGAACCCGGCCTCTTCATAGCCATGGACGTCACCGGCCCGTTTCCCTGCGACCGCTTCGGGCATGACGACATCTTCACGGTCGTTAACCGATTGAGTAAATACGTGCGATTTCTCCCTTGCAAGTACTACGCCACGACTCCCGAACTTGCGTGCCTCTTGCACACCGGCTGGATTTGCAGCCACGCGTACCGGAAGACATCGTTAGCGACCGTGACACTCGTCTCATGTCGGCGTTCTGGACTTCTCTCATGCAGGAATCCGACACCAAGATGAAACCAAGTTTGGCTCGGCATCCACAAACGAACGGGCAAACGGAGAGAGCACATCGGACTGCTCAGATGATGCTTCGTACGCTCATCCGTCCGGATCAGAAGGATTGGGTTGACCGCCTTCCCGACATCGAGTTCGCCTACAACACTTCTTTGCACCCGGCGATCAGCGTAACTCCATTCGAGTTGCACCACGATGGCCGGAAAGGTCGTATCTTCGCTGATCTTCTCCTTCCACGAACTGACGACATAGACGCCGCTTGCTCTCCCACCTCCATCCGGAAGTATGGGAAATTGCTTGCTCAAGCCTGCGAGAACATGCAAAAGGCTCAAGTCCTCATGCAGCAGCAAGCCAACAGGCGTCGTGCGCCATGTCCCATCTGCGTCGGTGATCTGGTTTGGGTCTCCGCGGAAGAGTTTGCGCTCGAACAGGATGTTTCCCGCAAACTACTCCCCAAGTGGTTTGGACCATGGACTGTCCTTTCAGCCGCAGGCGACGAGCCCGACGGCCCATCCGTTGTGATCGACATCCCTCCGCATTTGCCGGTCCATCTAGTCTTTCACGCCTCGAAGCTGGTGACATACACACCAGCTAAGAGCGACGACTTCCCGGGCCGACGATCGCAAGACCCTCCGTCTATGGATGGTCATCAGGAAGTCGACCGCGTCGTCACGGATCGCAAGTACGGCAACAAGCCTCGACAGTACAAAGTTACCTTCAAAGCATACGATCCTAACGACACTCGATGGATTTCAGGAGCAGATTTGCAAGCATCCGCACCGCTGATCTACGCTCACTACGAATGACAAGGTTAGCTAAGGAAGCTTCATGACCGGCCCCTCCCACCCTGACTTTGGTACCTCCCTCCGGCAGACAGCTTCGCCCTCGCAGGTAAGCTCGGTCTTTCAAGGAGGGGGGGTTGTGGCATACTGCGCATCCACATGGCCCTGCAGGGCCCGACCAGACGGAAAATAAGGGCCCTCCAGGCCCTGTGTCGTTTCAGCCTAAAAGCCTCAAAACGAGGGCCATTTTCAGGCACTCATAAAGTCAACCTGCCCTGAAACTCAGGCGCCAGACCAAGGTTTAGCACAGGCCATTTTTGGGCCTGTTTCAAGACAACCTTTGTTTGAACTTCAACACCCGGGTCTGGCACGTTTTGGCATTGGCAAGAGCAGCCTCCTGGACGGGCCAGCACTATATAGTACTGGCCCGCCCTGCAGGCTGCAGGTAGTTCACGGGGACTTCCCAGGCAGTTCACGGGCACTTCATGCGCAGGAGGCAGGAGGCAGTCTTCAGGATTCGGCAGCAGCACTCTGGAGGAGCGCTGCACTAGAGTAGTAGAGTTAGGAGTAGTCTTCAGCGCTGGGCGCTATTAGGAGCTTAGTGCAGCGTTGGAGAGAGAGAGAGTTGGCGGAGGCCAGGGAGACTTACCTGCGGCGCCATAGCTCCAGCTTCGTCTTCGATGTACCTGCAACAAGGCGCCACCTTCACAAGTTAGTACCGGACTGAGAGAAAGAGAGAGAGGGTTCTTCTTCTTCCTCTTCTGCGTCCACCATCTCTCCCTCACCCTCTCGCTACCTGACTTCTCAGTATCTGCAGACTATGTAAGAGAGAGAGAGAGAGAGAGAGAGAGAGAGAGAGAGAGAGAGAGAGAGAGAGAGAGAGAGAGAGAGAGAGAGAGAAATTGGTGACTTCGGGACTTGACGACATTTGGATTCAGACTGGACATTGGGATTGAGACATTTGACGAGAGATTGTTTGGGACCTGTGCCGAAGACTTGGTGTTGACGACATTCCCATCTTCCCCCTCTTCTTCCTCTTCTTCGTCTGATCCCCCTCCTCTCCGTCTATGTATGATTGGGGACTGCCGCATTCTTCCTGTGTAAGCGCCAGGCCCCTTCACACCACGTGATGATGATGATGTGTGTTTGGCCTGCATTGCGACATTGATTGGTCTGATCATTGGTATATTAGCCTTCCGCTGCGCTATCTTGTGAGAGAGGTCGGTCCTTGTTCTGGTCTGCACCGTTACGGTTTGCAACAGTTTTGCTCCATGTTGATTGCTATAAGGGTAGAACTGTTTCATTGTTGGTTTGTCTCAACTAGAGTTTTTCGTTGTCTGCAATAGGACTAAAGCTGTTTCGATTTGGGATCTACTCGTCCGGGTGCACTAGTGAAACGGATTCCACCTTTGCAGTAGCCGATGCAGATCCCAGGGCTCGATCCCTAGTCCTTACCCTACCTGTGTACAGTATCTGTGTCAACCCCAGGAGTTGAACCCACGACCTGTGTCTTTCCCCACAGTTGGTAGGTTGTCGTAGGTCTGTAGGTCATAGGGGTTCGATCTGTAGACCTGTCGGATAGGAGTCTTAGTGGGTTCTAGAAGTCGTAGCTGTAGCTCCTCCGAAGGGTCAAGGTCGTAGCTGCTACAGTCCTGAAGGGTCAAGGTCGTAGCTGCTACAGTACCGAAAGGCCAAGTCCACGGTCTTCCGGAAGGTCTGGAAGTGGCCTTTCGAGTACTGCCCACAGTAGACCGCGGCCAGTGGGCAAGTGGCGAAGTCCACCGGTGCTGAGTCAGCGGTACCCAGTCTCAGTCCAGTCAAGCAAGTACTGTGTGGGACTGTGTGCACCAGGGGCATGGGAAAGGGGCAGAGCAACGAGCTACAGAAGTATAAATCAAGAGGCAGCGCCCAGCCATTCATTCATTCATTGCTGCGTAAGCCATGCGGAAGCGCTGCCACAGCGACTTGTGCGAGGTGGTCTGCAGTATGCCCGAAGACGAAGTGGGCGAGAAGGAGAGCTTAGCCATAGCGATAGGAATAGTAGCGGCCATAGCCGCCATAGCTGATAGGAGAGTGTAGCGTGTGTGTATGCGTGTGTGTACAGTGTGACGCGTGTGGGATATCCAGGGCGATCCCAAGGTGAGGGTGTGTGAACAGCAGAGTGGGGCGCAGTGACGAACAGGGAGTTGTACAGGCGCTGATGCGCCATAGCCATCTGAAGCGAACCTGTATCTGAACTGTCTTCTTGGTTTCCATATCTCTGAGTTTTGAGTGGGCACTTGTCGCCAGTTTGCTGCGCTACCCGTTTACGTGCATGCGGAGTGTGAAAGAAAGCGAGTCTGATTGCACTAGGGGCGTTTGTGCTGAAAATTCAAAACACACATACACACACACACTCTTTGTCAACACACACAGGGATCCTACCTACAGCTGGTTCACGCAACAGGATCACTTCGACTCACGAAGACCAATGTACATGACTGCCAACACCACCGCCGACCTCTCTTCATGTACCAGGTACGCATCTCGTCACCCTCAATCAGACCTTGATTACCCCACACAGCGCCTCCTTCCCTGAAGACCACCTGATCATCCGCTGTACCCCCTGGCGCCCAGCAGCCCGGCTATGGCTGCCTGCGCCCTGCTGCCCTGCAACGCCCCACTACACCTCTCGCGCCCTGTCAGCGCCCTTGGCAGCAGCGCAGCATCAAGCGAGAGTGCAGCAGCACTTCCGCATTGCCAGCACTGGCCAGAATGCCTGGCCTGGGCTGCCTCATTCCTTTTGTGGAAGTGGCAGCCTCCTGGATGCTGCGTGTGGCCTGGCTGGAAGCTTCCAGTAGCTTCCAGTTGGGTCCCAGACCCTGCGCCCAGGCCCGAGACTACAGTTGAGGGCCTGGGCCCTTTGCAGTTAGGCACGGCCTGAGTCTCTGGACTTGGGCTGTTTGCTGCATCTGTGCAGGGCTCCCAGGCAGGTGCGTCGGCACTAGGCCGAAGGCCTGCTTCCCAATGTATCGGCCCTGCTTTGTCTATGTGTGCCCAGGCACAACTGTCAAGGCCTGGGCCAACGGTACGACGCAGCAATGTGAGGCTCACGCGTCTTCCCAACCAACTGGCGTGCTGCGAGAGCCTGAATACCCACATATGGAAATGTCGAATTTTGCCTTTGACAAATATTCAGGCCCGCCTTAGGGCGGGCACTTGGCTTGCTGGGGGCCTTAGCCCAGAACAATGTGATGTCTGATAGGGGCCCTTGAGGGCTTATTCCCCACAAAATGAATTAAATACTAAAACTGATTTGATTGAAGTTAACTTATTTTAGTGTAAATTAACGGATTTAGATTGGATTTTAAGTTAATTTAAGTAATTGCCGAGAAATTTGAAAATGAAATTCGAAAAAAAGGAGATGTCAAAAAAAAAAACAATAATAATAATATTATAATAATAATAAAGGAGATTAGTTGAATTAATGTTTATTAATAATGTGAAGATGCGAAATTCTAATCTAATTTGAAATACGAAATGTTAATTATTTACTTTCAGAAAGGAAAATGCAATTTTCAAAAATAAAGAAGTTCAATTAATTTTACTGTTCAAAATGGGAGAATAGAGTATTATAAACTTTTGTCGATCAATAGGGGTATCGTACGGAGGGGGGGGAAGGGCGAGCGGAAGCGAGGTTGGGCAGTGGGGGCGGGGGGTGAGATCAGCCGCGCGGGGGGAGAAGAG